TTGCTTAAAGCAAGGCAGGGAATGGGAACATCTTTTCTCCTGTTCTCTGCTGTTCAAACAGGATTTTACGGCAATGTATCCAAACCACAAACATGTCTCCTGCTCATGAAAAAGGCACATTTGTCAGGACTACAGAATTTTCCTCATCAATGTACACCATTCAAGTGATGAGTATGCTAAAAGCTCAGACGTCACCACCATACATAAATCCATGTAACAGAATGCCACCTGTACCTCCTAAATCTATTAAAATAAAAACTAAATTATTTTTTAAAACAAGAAATATACTATAAAAATTATCCAAATATCATGTGAAAATCAGCAAAAGATAAAGTCTTTGAATAGTTTTGGGGCAGAAAAATTTCCACTAATAGCAGGAACAGAATGCCCTCTGCCTTTAGCTAGTAACCTGGGGCCTCCCCTGCTCTTTATTTAGTACAGAGAGATGTACCGATGATAATTTGAAGGAGAAAAGTGCTTCCATCAATACTCAAGAGTCAACTGTTAGGACACTTAGGACACTAAAGGACACTGTTTAAATCCCTTATTTCCAGAAGAGAGAATGAATAATACAACAAGGAGCAGGGAAGACTGTAGACATTCATCAGTGTCATTTACTTTGCCCCAATATCACTGAATCCTCCAGTATTCTGAGACCACCTTGCCTTAGAATCTAAGTAAAAGGACTCCAGACCCCAATCATATAAAATGTTAGAATTCCAGTACCTTTTGAGAATTCCTGTAGTGGTGGAGGGTACAGTTTGTTACTGTGCCAAGGATTGTTCCAGCATCTAGCTCAGTTCTCAACCTCTCTCAGGCTGACCCTACCTCATTGCCATGATTGAGAATTCCCAGAAACAACACTTCTGTTTTCTTTGCTCATAAAAGATAAACTTAAAATTCCCAGCACTTCACTATACAGTACTATTTAAGTCCTTTAACCAAGATTTCAAGAACTGCTAGTCCCCGTAATGGGAAGTAATGCCTAAAGTAATGACTTTTCTCAAACCAAAGTGTCACCTAACCTGAGGTTCTGCCCTTCATGCAAAACAACTAACAGCATGGGGTTCAGGTGTTTAGGAATGGGTATACTGTACCTGCACGTGTGAGTACTGGGGCCTCAGGTAGCGGGTAGGAGTGGGGAGGGTATAGTATCTCTATTCTTGATCAAAACAAACTCCATATATTTGTTTTGTTTTTGTTGCTATTGTCATTATTATTGTTGCTTTCATCCTTCTCCTCCATGGTCCTCTTACCCTTCCTTTTCTTCTTACTTTTCTTATGTTTCCTCTTCTTCCCCCTCATCCTTCTATCTTCTTTTTCTATCTCTTCCTCTTCCTCTTAGATTAATTTTTGGAAAATTCACTCTAAAATGGTTTCATAATTTATCCCATCAAAGAAAATCCAGAATCCCTAACTTGTCATTCAAAGCTCTCTGCAATAAACCCAGTCTGCCTTACTTCCCAATTAACTTCTTTACTCAGCCTGTATCTCAGCAAAATTGAATCATTTGCAGACCCCTGGCTGTTTCCTACAGTTGAGGCCCTGCTCCTTCCATTTATACCAAACTCATGTTTCCAAACCCAGCCCACTCTCGAAGGTCCAGTCAGCATCTCATTTCTTTTTACTCAAGTGTAGACAATAGTCTTACCTTAGTTACCTTCCCGGCTCCCATGAGGCCCTGTGTCATAGATACAGATGGTGCAAACTCTCAATCCATTTTCCAATTCTGCCGTTATGAGTCAGATTACAGAGTCAGAAAGAGCAATTCCAATTCCAGCCCTACTACTTCTTAGTGTGTTCTTGTTTGTTTGTTTGTTTTCACCTTGGACAGATTATTTTACCTCTGTGTGCCCATTTTCCTCATCTGTAAATGAAGATTAAGTTAATACCTATCTCAAGGCTCATTGGGAGGATAAAATGAAGAAATATACATGTTTTCTTTGACACAGTGCCTGACACATAGAAATAGTTCCATAAACATTAGTTATGTAGTACTATTTTCTAACATTTGAATAAGACTCCATGGTTTAAAAACACACTTCCAGGTTGTTAGCTCAAAATATCCCTGTGAAATGTGTAGAGCAGATTTTTAATGCCTATTTTACAGATGAGGAAACAGAGTCCTAGAGACAATGAACATCTTTACCTGGATGCTAGCAAAGATTAAAACCCAAGCTAACTGCCACCTTTGTTCGGTTTTTAACCTGCATGTAATTACGGATAAATTACATCCACCTGAGCAGGACCTTTGATCTTTAAAATATCCCTTTTACAGGAATGTTCTAGAAATAGAACGTAGTGTGGCCTGCCTGGGCCCCATTGCCACTGTTTAGGAGACTGAAATAGGAGTGGAAGGAAGGAAGAAAGAAAAGTTTTATCTCTGGTTGTAAATTCCCCAGGGGGAAAAAAAAATAATTGAAGAACTGTTTATGATAGAAAACTATAATGAGGAGTAATGGAATGAAATTAAGGAAAGGGAAATAACAACTTTATAATAAGGTTCCAGTATGAGGTATTCAAATTTAATTGTGTTTTTTAAGTAATGTCTGACTCCCAGATGCTGCAGTGATGAAGACTGTATACAAATGGGTGCATAAATAAATGACTTTATAATCCACACAATCACACTGGTGTGCCTTATAAGCCAAGATGCCATTTTGCAACTGCACATTTAGAATTGGCATTGCAAATGCAAAAAAAAAAAAAAAATCTCCTATTGGGTTGAGAATGTGATTGTTTCCTGTTTCTCATAACTTACTAAGAGGAATGGAAGAATCTTTTCTCCTCCACTAAAAGAAAAAAATAATAAATGCCCAGCCTCTTCAGCTTATTGGATTTGCATATGTTGTTGATCCATTTCTGAGTTAAGCATCACACACTAGGAGGTTAATTTATCCAACAGAATGTTATAATCAACCATTTCAAATGCATTGTTCAGATCCTCAGAGACAGACCTTAGGGGTGAAGGGGGGAAAGATATTCATGCCAATTTTTATGTCTCTCACACTGTTACAGAGACACAGCTAATAATAACAATCAAAACTAGTGCTGCAGGAAAAGTGGGAGCTTGGCGAGGATCCCCTGCATTTCTGCTGTTGGCTTCTCTGTGGAATCGAATTATTTGGAGTTCTTTGTTTTAAAATCATTATTTTTCAGTAGACAAGCTACTACTGTTATCCAAAAGTTAATGGTGGGAATATGTCTAGCTGACACAACAAATACAGCCACAGTTCCACAGTTATTAACGCCAGTAACAATTTGAGATACAATAAATGACTGTGCACCATGGCATTTACCACTCACACAATAGCAGGAAATGGTGCTGCTGATCTGTCCTCTGAAAGAAGAACACACACACACACACACACACACGTATATGTGCATGTGCACACTGGACCCTTAATATTCTCCTGCTGATGGCTACCAGATACACCATGGCAACTAAATGGAATTTTATAAGTGTAGGGTATCAAAAGCCTGATTTATGATTCAAGAAGAGAAATTTCAATACAAAGCATTTGTCTACGAATTTAGAGGGCTTAAGGCAACATTGACAATCATATTGTACTTATCTACATAGTAAGGACATACACAAATAACTCCCTAAAGTGCTCACATGATTCTTTCAGCTTTTTCATTTCTAGTGGTAATTGTGCCACAAGTCACTGATCCCAATGGAAAATGGGTCAACTCTAGGCTAGCCCTGGTCCCAGGCGTCATTTTTTAGCTTTTCTTAGAGATTTATAAGGTACATTGGCATATTAAAATCTACATGGAGCTCTGTGATACATGAATATAACATTTTCCAACATATTGGTGCATTGAAACTTTTCTTTTTGACTTCCTAATTAACACTCTGCATAACAGCATTCTATGAGAAGTGTTTGGAAACATGGTTTTAATCCCCCTTCCTCCCACATACATACAAACACACATGGGGAAGTTTTATGATTCAATAGAAATGAATCCATATCCATATCCTTTCAACTGATGACACTCAGATGCTCAAATTATTGGAGAACTGTGGCCACCTAAGAATATTTCTGCTGTGCATTCTTTCACTGAATCACCAGCCTGGAGAGGACTAGACTCTCATGAGTCTTTTGGGTTTCTGTTCTTGTTCTGGCCCAGTAGTCTTCTATTATCCAATTAATTTCCAAGCTCTACCATTGTTGGGTTTTTTTCTCTCCTTCCCATAAGAGCCTTCATACATCATCACAATAAAGGCAACTGATGTGACAAAAATAAAGCTTTTTAAGAGCAGCAGTCATTGCCGTATCACCAGGGCCTAGCCCAGGACTGTCACAAACTCAGGGCTTATGAATAATTGTGGCTAAATTAAATTAAAAACACCAGAGCCTTTCATAAATCCGTTAAGTGTGCTAGAATTGTGGCCAAAGGTTTTTGGACCAGTGTTTTGAAGGCTTATCATTATTCTTCCAATTCCTAATTGCTTCATGCTCATCATCAATAAGCATTCGTTCAGCAGCCACAGGAACAGATGACTGCTTCACGGAGCAAGTTTAACTGACTTATTCTCTGCCCTTTCAGAGCCGACAGTCTCAATTTCTTTCTCTGATAAGAGTACATAATTTAATTCAGTTAATAGAATGTGACAAATTGCTATCTTAACTCTTATATACCTTTTAATATTCAGCAGTTCGTCTCCTTTCCTACTATACCAGGTTCCCAGGTAGATCATCAGCACATATTCAATGTAGACTAAAAACATTTATAAGCCAGGTTGTTCAAAGCATGGCCTAGCTGCTTTCATTTTCTGGTTAAGTAAAGGTCACGCTCCAGTTTGCTATCCTGCTTTCTTTGGAACTGAATGGTTCCCTGAGTCATCATCCTATGCATTGCTTTTGTGTGTGCTAGAGATGGAGAATCATAGACTCTTAGGGTGTCAGGAGTAAAAGGATCTGAGAAATTAGCTAGTAGTTGTTGTAGTATCAATGGTAGTTTACTTCTGTATGAGCTTTTGACTTCGGAAATACCTTCTCATATCGTTTGATCCTTAGAACCATCTATGAGGTTAGCAGAAAATAGTTGATTTGGTCAAGGTCACATAACACCAGGACTTGGCATCGGTCTTTTGACTCTGAGTTCTAGCATTCTTTCTCTCTTGTCTGAAAAAAAAGTAGAATGAAGAAGAGGAGAAAAGGGGAAGACGAAAGAAAAAAGTAAAAGGAGAGAAGTACTTGGCTCAAAGTACGTGCTTAACAATATTTCTGGATGAATAATAATAATTTTTATATGCATATAAACTTTGTGCTTTAGTTTCCTAACATTTAAAATGGATAATATTCTCCACCTCATGTTGTGAAGATTAAATGAATTATTAATGATATATTCAAAGTAATGAGTATGTAGATACATACATAATGCTGAGAATATCTCAGTACATAGTAAATCTCAACTATTATTAAGTACATAATAATTTACAGGTTATAAAAGTTTTGAAAATTTTATCATAAGTAATCTTCAAAATAACTCTTTGAAATCAGTGATTATATCCTGATAATCAAACTGGAGTATTAAGAGTTTAAGTGACAGCATGCAGGTCAGCAGTACCTAGATATCTGCCCACCACACAGCTGCCTCCTTCAACTAACCCAAAAGTGGGAGTGGAGACTTAACAGCCATAAATGGATGTATCAGTGATCTCCCAGTTAATTTAGGCACAGGATGTTAGGCTACACGCGCACCAACCTCAGGACACAACCTGGATTCTGGGAACATCTTATTTTATCTTTAACTGTTCTAATTGTCAGCTTGTTGTCTTGAGATTTGCCTCTTTCTCTTGATGAGAACAGTTCTAAAAGAAAAAAAAATAGCTAAACAATTGATCTAGTAAATTAAGCTCTAGCTGACTAAGATTTTACTCTAGAACATTTTATAAACACTAACTGTAAGGCACAGACCCACTGGAAAGGAGCAGGTAAGCCAGTCTGAGTTTTCATTGTGTTTGTAACTCAAGCACTGGCTAAATAAAGCAGGGAGCTCCCCTACTCCTAATCTGAAGCTTTGTCTCTTTTTTTTTCTTTTTCACTCTCTCTATTTTGTTATTTGAAAAGAATACCAAAATACCTTCTCGAGCCAGTTGGATCATAACCCAAGCTAATCCTCAGCAAGAAGAAACAAAAAGAGCCACAGCTCCCATGTCCCCTTTAGTGCAAGCTTAAATTGGGCCACGGCAGACAACATGTCTCCTGGGTATTCTGACTTTGATGGATCAATTGCATGTGTCATGATGAGACTTGCCTCTTTTTCTTTAGTTAGTAAGCACTTCTCAAAGTATCAACTGGTAATTTGCTCATTGGTTAGGACTTTCATTAAATTAGATGTTAGGTGATCATGGTGTCATTACAGGAAATTTGAAATTAGAAGGGTTGTGTTAAGTTTTGACCTACAGTTTACTTATTACATCTGTACTACAACTTTGATACTTACCATATTTTACTACATCTTTAGCTCCTAAAAAAGTTCACTTAAAGCTTTTCAGGTCTCAGTCTCCCCAGCCAAAAATTGGGATAGTAATATTTACCTATGGGATGGTTGGAGAATGAAGCAAGTTCATACATTAATGTTATTAAATACATTGTCAGTCTAAAATGATGTTATTTAATTAAATTAAATGAGGAGTTGCTTAAGTTGAATAGCTATCTTGATAGTGCAATGTTTGCCATGAGTTAATTTTAGTCCCTTGCTTTTAAAATCCTCAGAGCCTGGATGTCCCATAGGAAAATTTGCCACTGATGACTAGAAACTTCAGTTTCAGGGTCTCAAAGGGGGAATGCTTTAAAGGATTTAGGGCAACTTCATTTAACCTGGCAATAAGATTAAGACCAAGCTCTCCCAAGTTGGTCCTTAGCCCTGTCAACATCTCTGCTTTTGTCTCTCTGTTAATTTTGTCCTACTGGCCTGGGCTAATACTACAAGGCATTTAGCTGTGTTAATTAAAAATACCAGCCAAGCAAGATGCTTAAGAATGTTGCTGCCAAAGGCAGTCTCCAGTTTTAAACAGCCAGATTGATTTAAGGGCTTTTAACCAACTGCTCTATAAATTTCAGGGCCAACAGCCTGGTGCTGTGGAACAGCAAGTGGAGGTTGAAAGCCCAGTGGTTTGCAGGCTCTCTGACATCCGAAGAGCCACAGGAAGGGGAAAGAGAATGAAGCTTAACATTCATATGGCAATGAGAGAGTGTCTGAGAGGAGACTGTTTAATAAGAAAGAGAAATCAAGATATTACCTTGGAGCTAGATGTAGAAGGGTTAGCTGTTATAACTTAAACAGTGGTCAGAAGACACTTTTGGAAGGTGCTGGAGCAATTGTAGGGAGATTGCAAAATTTCAGTGGCCCAGGCTAGTTATTGGAGACATAGCAATAAGGCCATTGCCTAGCAATGAGGGTGTTTATTTATAGAAGTTTGGCCGACTTCTTCTCTAGGGCAGCGCTTTCTAAACTCTAATATGTGTGTAAATCATCTGGAGGTCTCTAAATGCCAATTCTTATTCAGCAGATCTGGAGTTGGCCTGAGACTCTGCATTTTTAACAAACTACTAGGTGATACTCATGCTGCTTGCTTAGGTACCAATGATGCTGATGCTATTTGCTCATGTTGAGTAGCCAGGCTGGACATTCAGGTTTAATTGGTAGGGTTAGGTCCTGGGCTTTTTTTACATTTGTAAAGCTCACCAGCCTATTATAATGTGCAGCTGGGACTGAGAGTCACCGATCCACTTTTGAGCACCTAAGCAGAATTAGGCTAATCATCTTGCATCTTAGAAAATGGAATCAAGTCTTTAGGAATGTTATTCAAAACAGGTGAGTTCTTCTAATAGGAATGAAAGGAATGGTAGTTAAAGGTAAGAGATCTGACTGTTAATGGACTATGCATAAAATGCAGCTATTTAGTTCCTAAATTTTTATGGCTCAAAACATTTGTCTGTATCCTTATCTGTTCCTTATTTTACCAGCCTTGGTTCTTCACTTATTTTAATTCAGTCAGTTATGTATGTATATATGTATGTGTATATGTATTTATTTATTTATGGGCCTCTTTCAGGATTTGTCCCCTTGCTTTCCTGGACCTGTGGTTCCTGCATGTATTCTTTGCATTGTCTGACCCTATGGAACTTGATTTCTGGTTCACCTAAATTGAATAGCTGTCAACCCCTTCTGTTGAACCTAATTGATGGCCCTGACTCTAGACTGAAAATATAGAATTATGGAATCTTCAGTTTAAGAACTGGAAAAGAATTCAAATGATTGCACTGTAATAAACACTTTCTGCTTCCATTTCTGTCTTGCCCTCCCACTCTCCCTCTACTATAGTTATATGCCATCATGACATAAAACAAAATAATATAATTAGCATTTAAAAGAATAGACTTAAGGATTGATTACTATGCTTCTAATATCAATCAGGTGAATGAAAATACTGACAATGAAGATAAAATCTCACCTTCCGATTTAGTGCCCAAGGGAAAAGCAGTAAGGTCATCTCTGATATTTCACAAATTTATACATTTACAAAGATTTTTCATATTTTTCAGGTATAACTTGGCATTAGTAAGTGAAAGCCATTTAGATAAGGTCTTCAGGCCTTCTGGCAGTTTTACAGAAATGCAACTATTCTGGGATTCTATGATTTTAGGCATTTACTTTTTTGTCTCTTTGATTGACCAAGTTAAGGCTGACATGAAACATAATGTCCAGCCTGAAGAAGTTGGAAATAGTGACAAAGATCAGGCAAACAAAGCCATAACCTTTCACTGTCATGGCTGGGAAGAAACACAACATAATACAAGTGACTCTTGGGCAGTGTAAAGGGAGATGCCAGAGTGGTAGAAGAAAAAAAAAAACAATTCAATTTGAGCTACAAACCTCCGGGTAATGTTTCACACAACCACTGTCAGCTCAGCAGTAACCACTGCAGAGCCCTAACCAATGTTGCTGTGAAGCAAATGGATCAGTGTTCCAGGCCTCCTAAAGCTAGCTTTTTCTTTTCTTTTCTTTTCTTTTCTTCTTTCTTTTATTTCTCATGTTGTTTTATCCCTATATATTTTTTAAAAGTAAGTATACATACATTTGCCTTTCTTTCTTACTTACTTTTCCCTCCTTCCTTTCTCTTCTTTCCTTCCTTCCTTTCTTTCTCTCTATCTTTTTCTTTCTTTCTCTCTTTCTTCTTTTCTTTCTTTCAATAGATTTGTGGGTATAATTGGAGTTTGGAACATGAATATATTGTATAGTGGTGAAGTCTGGGCTTTTAGTGTGCCCATCACCCATATAGTGTTCATTGCACCCAATAGGTAATTTTTCATCCTTTGCCACCTTCCCACCTCCCTCCTTTTGAGTCTACAATGTCCATTATGTCACTCTGTATAATGATGTGTACCCACAGCTTAGCTCCCACTTATAAGTGAGAATATGTGATAATTGGTTTTCTGTTTCTGAGTTATTCCACTTCGGATAATGGCTTCAATTTTCATCCAAGTTGCTGTTAAAGATATTATTTGATCTTTTTATGGCTGAGTAGTATTCAGTGGTATAAACATACCACATTTTCTTTATTTGCTCATCAGTTGATGAGCACTTAGGTTGATTCCATATCTTTGTGATTATGCATTGTGTTGCAATAAACATTCAAGTACATATGTCCTTTTTGATGTACTATATTCTTTTCCTTGGAGCAAATACACAGTAGTAGGATTATTGGATCAAAGGGTACACCTACTTTTAGTTTTTTAGGAATTTTCATACTGTTTTCCATAAAGGTTGTACTAATTTATATTCTCACCAATAGTGTATAAACATTCCCTATTCACCACATCTGTAACAACATATACTGTTCTTTAACTTTTTGATAATGGCCATTCTGACAGGGGTAAGGTGCTATCTCATTGTGGATTTAATTTGCATTTTGCTGATGATTAGTGATGTTGAGCACTTTTTCATGTTTGTTGGCCATTTGTGTTTCTTTTGAAAAATGTTTGTTCATGGCATTTGTCCACTTCTTAATGGGGTTATGTGTTTTTTTCTTGCTGAGTTGTTTGGGTTCCTTGTAGATTCTTGACATCAGTCCTTTGTCAGATGCACAGTTTGCAAATATTTTCTCTCACTCTATAGGCTGTCTCTTTACTCAGTTGATTATTTCTTTTGCTGTGCAAAAGCTTTTTAGTTTATATAAGTCTTATTTGTTTATTTTTGGTTTTGTTGCATTTGTTTTCAGAGTCTTAGTCATAAATTCTTTGCATAGGCCAATATCCAGAAAAATTTTTCTTAAGTTTTCTTCTGGAATTTTTACAGTTTCTGCTCTTATATTTAAGTTTTTAATCCATCTTGAATTAATTTTTATATATGGTGAGAGATCGGGATTCAATTTCATTCTTCTGCATATGACTATCCATTTTTACAAGCAGCATTTATTGAATAGGGTGTACCTTCCCCAGCGCATGGTGTTTTTTTTTTTATTATTTTTGTCAAAGATCAGTTGATTGTAGGCATATGGCTTTATTTCTGGGTTCTCTATTCTGTTCCCTTGATCTATGTATCTATTTTCACAACAGTACACTGTGCTGTTTTGGTTGTTATAGTTTTGCAGTATACTTTGAAGTCAGGTAATACGATGCCTTCAGTTTTATTCTTTTTGCTTAAAATTTCTTGGTTTATTTGGGCTCTTTTTTTGTTCCATATGAATTTTAGGATTTTTTTTCTAATTCTGTGAAAAATGACATTGGTATTTTGATAGCAATTGCATTGAATCTGTAGATTGTTTTGGGCAGTGTGGTCATTTTAACAATATTGATTCTTCTAATTCATGAGCATAGGATTTTTTTCCATTTGTTTGTATCATCTAGGATTTCTTAAAATTATTTTTTCTTTTCTTAAGTAAAATTTTTAAATTGAAAAACAAATCCAACACTCCTCATTGCAATAAAGACTAACCTCAAAAAGGTTCAGAGTCAAGAATTGTTTGGTTGTTCCCAATGTGACAGAATACATAATGTCTCACTCTATATTTAGGAAGTCAAATCACCTTCAGTATTTTGTCTTAAAAGTTGCTCTCCTAGATAAGAGGTGGATATACTGATGAAATTCAAAATTCTTGCTGCTGTCCACTTTATGCCTGATGTAACTATACAGGTTGGCACCTTGTACCACACCCATGATAAACACATCCAACCACTTTATTCTAAAGGAGAAGATAGCATTAAAAGCAAATATCACCCAGGGTACTGGATAAACAGTAAGTCCTAACCAAAAGATTCTTGATTCAGCCTCTGAAACAGTTTTATTCCCTTGAGGGGCTGCCTTCCTGGACTCAAACAGTCAGTGGCTCTTTCCAATATGATTTCACCAGTGTAGTACAATCATGAGACTATCTGTGACATTCTTCACTGCCCCAAAGTGGTCCCCTAACACTTTTTATTTTATTTCTTTGAGCTTGCCTCTATAATATCCATTAAGTTATATATGCCACAAACCAAGTTGAAACACCAGCAAAAGGTATC